CCGCCAGCGCACGACGGCGGAGGCGGAGAAATGGCGTCGCCCGCCCCGCCGGAGGCCTGCCCGGGCTCTCCGTGGGCACGGCCGCAGCGTTAGGCTGCCGCGGGACGCCGTGCAGCGGGAAGGGCCGAGCAGCCCGCCGGTGAGATGCGGGAGCGTGAGCCACGCACCGGCCCGGGGTTAATCCCTGCAGCCGGTGATGCGTTTGCACTGTGGGGGGGGAAGGTGTGTGGCTGCCGGGCGTAGGGTCACTGCCCAGCTGCCTCTTGCATTGTTTCCTCCTGCTCTGAAGCGGCTTTCCTCAGTAACCGTGTGCCCTCTGCTCCTTCGCCTTTCACCCTGCGCTACAGGTACTAAAGATGGGCCGCCGAGCCCGCCAGGACTTCTTTCCAGATGAAAATCTCAGCAGGAAGAATTCCTCGTCTGCTTCTCTTGGAGAGGTGGGTGTCAGGAAACCAGTCTGTAAGCCTGCTGGTGTCTCCAGGGGAGGAATTTTCGTTTCTTCTGAGACTCTTCCCCACATCATATGCTCTGTCCTTTGAAGTTTATCCTTAGAGTTGGGACTTAGGTGATTGCCCTGTCCCTTTCCTGGTGTTGCCCTCTGCATGATAGGTAGTTTTCACACAGGGTCACACCTGGGACTATGGTTTCTTACGTGTGAGGAGGTATGGAGAATAGCATCAATCAGGACTTGAGGCCTCTCCCTCCTGTACACACCTATCTTCCATGGGAATTAAAATATGAGCAGGCACATAATTCTGTGACCAGTTTTACCACCATCTATGGTAGGTAGCAAGACAGAGTACAGGTAAGCAGATACCTTACATTTGCACTTTGCTTTTGCTAGAGTACAGTATCTGAGATAGTCAGTATGAAGTTTATATAGTGGCACTCTTTTTCCTTTCCTCCATGCACAGGCTACAGAGGCCATGCTGGGAGCTAGTTTTGCAGCATCTGAGACTTTGTCTTGTGGGTAATAATATGCAAACTCAGTTATCCCTTGGCTTTGGAGAAAAACTTCTGTTCAGAGTCTGCACTGTCAGTACATCTTCAAAAAGCAGAAGATGGTCTGGAACCCTTCTTTCACAGGAGAGTAAGGCAACAACCTCCAGTACCCAGAAAGATGAGATCTTAACCCTTTCAATTCACTTGCTTGCTTAGGGCTGCAGAATGCTCAAATTCTACATGGAAGTTTGCTCTCTGATATTAGTGTGGCTTCTCCACAGGCATATCCTTCTGGAAGGACCACCTATCAAGAAATGACATACAGATTTTGCTCCCTGACACTTTCAGATGGACAAAAGGGCCATCAGACTTGCATCTTACCGACAGCGATACTTGCTTAAAAGAGATGACACTTATCTTTCTGTGCTGCCAGTAGTGGTCTCCAGCATACCATACTCCTGGCTTCTTTAAATTGCAGAACTACTTTGCCCTGTTGGCCACCCTGGCATCAACTGTGCTTCAAGCTACTGTACTCAGAGCCCGGGGACCTTCTGTCTTGGGACTGGCTACTCCTTGATCCTCTGTGCCATGACAAAATTACTGTTACCTTGAGTAGTTATGTTCCAACCCATCTGTGCTGAAACACTATTTTGTGGGGGATATTTTCTTGGAGTCCCTGTGGTGCTGTTGAAAATACACTGTTACGGCTTAGCTTACAATAACACCTTGTAGAACAGGCTTTTTTTCTGGAGAAAGTATACTCTTTTCTCTTAATAGGCATAATGGAGAATCATCTTCAGCCTATGCAGTCCCCCATCCCTGGGTATGCTTACAGGAGTTCAGCAGGGCTTCCATGAGAGTGTTTGCAGAACGCGTAATTTAAGAAGTTGAAATAACCATGGGCCTCATAGGTAAAGAAGGTCTTAAAGAAAGCAGCTGGTGGTTTAAGTGGGTGTAATTGTTGGTTAGCCTCCAGATTAGGGTGGCTCACTGTCAGATTGTTCTCTTACTGGGGAACTGGCCGTCTTAGTTCATGGACTGATTCCCTGGTTAGAAAGAGACCAGGGCGTGATGTAGGGGTACAGCTGACTGTAACTTACTGCAGTTGTACTTTGTGTGTCTCACATCACAGCCATTGTAATAGCTGGGGAGAGATCATAAAGGCTCCAGTCCTTGGGCACTCCTGAAGAGGGCTAAGAAATAGTTATGATCTTCAGTTTGAAAGCAGTGAGCTTTTCAGCAGCAGAAGGGTGAGGCCTTCCACGCCTTACAAGATTCAGATATGTTATTACTGGATCTTAACCACCAGGAAGAACTGTTTGTGTCAATATTCTCCCTTCAGACAGTTCTTTGTTGCTGAATGTTGCTGTTAACTGAAAACCTTGGAGCTACTGAAGAAGAGACAAAATCCACTGTAAATAATTCTCAGCCTTTTCTTTTGCTCCAGAATTAGAGTCTTCTCATACACGATCATATTTGATACCAAAGTGAGCATTTAATATAACTAATACTGTTTTTTCCTTCACCCTAGATTGGCAATCACCTTTCACTTTTCTGGAAGCCTGGCCTTGGCTTGCCTCCAAGTGGTGGGGTCAGCTGTTACAATGGATGTCTCATTCAGCCATCTGGTCATCTTGAAAACTTTTCAAGGAACCTTCCCAAAAGAAATGCAAAATAAAAACCCCCAGTACTTTTTTCTGGAACTGGCAGTAGTGGAGGAGGCCTCATGTAATTAATTTCAGCACAGGAGGTTTTATTCTTATTACTGGTTTTGAAGACAGAGGGGTTTGTCTTAGACCTTTACCATATTCCCACCTTTGTGTGCAGTTTCACATTCAGGATGGTGATTCTGCCCTCAGTAGTTCCTCAGAGTTGTAAAACTGTTGTAAGATTCACCTTGACTTTTTTTTTAAATTCCTTGTCAATCTACCCAGTTTCCACCCAGCTCAAATTTCTGGTATGAACATACTATTTGTGCTACTGTTCAGATCTTTTCATGACACTGAGAACCATCCAGGAACTGTTTTTCAGTCAGAGCAGCTTCCTTGAAGGAAGCAAAAGGTACTTCTCTATGTTTCAACATTTGGGCTTATTACAAGGAAATTCACTTCGAGGGGTGAACAACTCATTTAGCATAATTTAAAAGTCTTTGTTTTGAAGTCAATGGGCAAATCATCTGACTTGGAGCATAGATTTTATCAGATTACTGCCGATCTTTCCTTGACCTGGACTCTGTCTTCCAAGAGAGACTCCAAACAATGGTATATCTCCTCAACTGTGTGTCTTCTCTCACAAATGTCTTACTAAAACCTCCTTCCCTAGGGCACAACTGCAATCTCTTGTGCCTTGTAGCCTAGCATACTTCCCCCAAGCTATATGAAAACAGCACGATATCTTAGTATATTTTCAGTGCCTGTTGCGTGTATGTATTTCCCACAAGAAGTCTCTTAACTGCAGTGGTCTATCTGTAATTCCTCTGCTCAAATCTCTATTAATTCCCATGCCTGTGTGGAAATATCTGTGTTATTTTCAAATTTAGACCTCTGATTTGTCTCCTCAAGGGTCTCACTAAGGGTCACAAAGCTCACAGTCTGCCATCTGACATGCAGAACATTCCTGCCTTTTCAGAAGTACAAGTACTAACAAACAACACTGCAGCTTTGTATTATTTCATGAGGCAAGAAGGAACATGATTATTTGCTGTAATTGGTGCAGTCAGCATCCTCCTACAGCAATGGCTGTGCGTGTTCCTGGCCTTTAGAGCTCTTTGGCAAATCGGCAGGCGCTTCTTGGGCACCCAGGGGAATATGCTGTAAATGGGAATTCCTAGAGATAAATCTGCTTGCTACATGCCAGAATTCTGCATTTCAAACATTCATTTTCAGAGGGGTAGTGTATCCATTTTTCCATTGGGAGGCCTTTCCCATCCCCTGGCTTGATGTGTTACTTTTTACTCATCTTGATGCTATCAAGTTTCTGACAAAATGGGACAAACTCAAGCTGGTCGTGTTATTTGTATAATGGGAGGGGCAGATCATATAATGAGATCTGTTGAAGACCTTTGCTGTCCTATCCTACCAGGACTTCTGGACACTTTTATAGTATAAAAGTCAAACCTTTTTTCTGGCTCTACATCACTGCATCCAACAGCCTGAGTACTGGCTTCATGACATCCACCAAAAGAAGCTGTTTGGACAGGTTCGGAGCTCTTGAGGAGATTGATTTAGAAAGCTGAGTGGAAAAGACTTTTTTTGGAAATATATCAGCAAATTTTTCCTTTTCTGTCTTGCCTTCCTCTAGGCAAGAGTGAACAAATTGCTGTTCCATAAGAAATTGGTATGAAAAAATACTGTAGTGTTATCCTGCTCCCACAGTCTGTTTTCTCTTCATCCAGTGACAGGATTCCCTTGGGACCTTGTTCAAGACTTCCCTGGTTTCTGCCTCTTACAGTCTCAATATGATGTTGTTGGCATCTATCTCTCTGACAGCACTTGGTAGATCCTTTGAGTGGAGACTGCTTTAATAGGCAATATGTCAGCCTAAAGGCTGAGGGTTTTCCAGGCTATGTCGAGAATATTTCCACACAGGTTGGATGGGATCGGTTTCATTTTATATCAGGGTTTGCCCAAAAATCATCTAATTTCTGTGCATGTTCTCTTCCTCGCATTTCACCAAAGCCTGCGGAAAGGCTCAGTGCTTCCTCTTCTGAAAGTATGTTCTTTGGTTGTCCTACCTGATATTTGTAAGTTTGCCTATGTAGTTGTGGTCCTTGGGTGATAATTAAAAAGTGAGCATTTCTGTGCTGTAAAAAATACCTTGTTCAGGATAAATTAATGTAGTCAGATAAAAGCTTGGGCCACCTCCACTGCATATGAGAAGGATGTTCCCACAGGTGAATTTTGCAAAGCAGTTAGTTGGACTTCCACCACCCTGCTTACAAACACTTCTGGTGGTGATTCTTTAGGCTGACATGCAGGCATCATTTAAATAGGACTTGGTTATCTAACCCAAGTGAATAAACAACTGCAAATCAATTGCTGAGGGTGAAATCCACATGGAAGATTGCTCAAAGAAGTGGTTATTTAAATGCTTTTTCAACATGTGTTGTCCCTCTGGATTTCCTTCCATGCTGCTGTGAGTCTTGTACCACTTGAGATCCATACATCTAGAGGAGCTTAAGTGTTGTTGGGACCCACAGAAGCCTTTCTGCTCTTGGGTATTGGAACAAGTGGGTCCCTGACTGACAGATACACACTTCCAGCAGATTTTACCATTGTGCAAATTTGATTCCATTTATGCTGCTCAGTGATGAGGACACTGCTGTACCCCAGCTGCCCTAACCTGCATGTAGCCTCCATCTGCTCATGTCATGGTAAGACCATAAGACCAGATGATAGCACAGGCACTAAGTGGACTCAGATACCAAACCACTTTAATCAGAGATAGATGCAACTTCTGAATCACATGGCTTCCCTGTTCCACAGGAGAGATGATGCAGTCCAGAAGAAAATTCCGGTGGGTTAGTGTAGTGTTTCCAGCCATCCTGTGTGTACTCCTGGTGCAGGGTCGTGGGATACCCTAGACCCTCCCCTGAGTGATTATGAACACTGTCATTTCTAGGGTAGTATAAAGATTACTGGGATCTTAATTTGCCTCCTTCTTGCATTTGCTGCTTAACAACTGGCTGTTGCCACTGCTGATGCTGGCAGTCTGCTCATCAGAAAGGTTCTCAACCAGTTTGCAGCTTTCACAGTGATTAACAGGCTGCTTTCCTTGAGTTACTCATCTACCCCATTGGGGAGTTAGAAGTCGTCTCTCACACCAAGCTACTCCCTTATAGTATAAGGTTACTCAGAGTTCGTCTACTAAAGCTAATGCTCTTGTCAGCTATTTCTATCTTGTGCTAACTGCTGCAGCTCCTGCTTGCAGAGGAGGATCTGAGTTTGCATTGAGAAACAGTAGCTCCTGAAAAAAGGGCTGCAGCCTGCTACAATATATAACCCCTAGTATGACTGGTCCAACATAATTTCTGGTCTCTGACATTGTTGCAGAGCCTACCCATACAAATCTCTTAGCATCCTGCACACTTGAGTAATTTGGGTTTTCTCATGCTATAGGGAGAAGGAACTAAGTCTATTCTCTTCTTGGTCTCATTTGTATTTTTTGTCTTTAGTATGTATTTCAAGGTCTGATTGCTGGCAGATTTTCCTGCCACTGCAGTCAGATAGACCTGCTTATATATCACACTTGGTATATGCATAAGTGACTCTGGATATAAAATTTTACAACGCTGGGATTAACTTCGTTCAAGTGAATAAGGTTGTAAGGCATGTGCTGCAGGACAGCCATTCATGTCAATCTTCAAGCTATTTTGTGCAGGATTCCATAGTTTTTCCTTTTAACTTCTTTCTCTCTTTTTCCCTCCTGATCCTTCTAGGATGAAGACCCTGAGAAAAAGGTTGACCATGTAAGACTAGAGGCTTTCTAGGCAGATGCTGGCTCCTCTGAAGGGGACTTGTAGGACTAGCCTATTCATGTGTCTGGAGACTACCTTAAGAGCAGACTCTTGTGTTGGTGAATACGACAGAGTTTGCTTCAGATGCAGTACCTTTCCTGCATCCTCTGTTGCTATTGCTGACGGGTTTTTTTATTACCTTTGTAACAGCTGCTCTTATCAGCTGCTGCATCTTGTTCTGAGGTCACATGTATGTGTGGCCATTGGAAGATACTCTTATTTTCATTTAAAAGTCAGGGCAGCAATTAGCTAATAGAGTACAAAACCTAACTGAGCCTAGATATGCTGTGCAATATGTTTAGTTTGCTCCAATAACATGAAAACTTGTCTTCAGGAGTTATGAAGTCTTGCTGGTACCCCAGAGGAGAAGGCCAGCCAGTAGTAACAAGGATGTGTGCCTTTGTATTTTCTATGTCTCTTTATTGCACCAGCACTGGCATGCTCCTATCTGTGGTTAATAGGATGGCATAGTGCTTCTTACCAGGCTCCTGTTATACAGAGAAAAGGAATACACATATCCTTTCTCATCCTGCAGCAAAGCTAAAATACATCTTGGCATTCATTTGGCATTGGAAGCTAGGGTGGTGCTGTTCACAGCAACCTGAGAACTAGTACCTGTTTCTGTTAAAGTCTTCAGGCTAACTGTCTTGTACTCTTCCTAACCATGGAATTGGTGCTGCCCAATTTTTCCTGGATGCAGTTGCTCTCTGTATGTGTTAGACAATTCAGGCACTGTCTCCCATACTTTTAATTCTTTCAGCTGAAGCACCAGCCCAGTACTAGTAGCATAGTAGATTAATTAGTGAACTTTAAAGCCCAGAAAAGAAACTCTTACCATTCATCTCATTAATTCTGGCCTCAGAAGGGTATGCTCATCACGAGGAGTCAAGACTATTCAGATTAGCTCAGTTTTCTCTTGGTAGTACTAGAGATGGTATTGTAGGAATGATCTACTGGGTTTATTGGTCAGTGATGGATGGTTCAGGACTGTGCCCAGAGCATTCCAGAGACCTCCCACTGAGGGGTATAGTTTTGGGGACTGATTACTCAATAGAGATTTTTCCTGATAATTGATCTAAACTTGCCTCCTGCCACCTCACTGGAACCAGTCCTTACACTCATTTCACTGGATCTGATTCCACCTCCATACAGTGCCCTAAATCATTGATTTCTAAGGTCTGCTGTACTGTGGTGGCTGGTCATGTGCCACAGGCACTTTCTTGCTCCTGGCTGCTAAATTTCATTAAAATAACTAAACTGATGTGACTCTTCCACATGAGCAGTTGTTGTTGCTTCAGGGATGTTATGCAATGGTGCCTGGCAAGGAGATTTTCCTTAGTATGAAGTGATCCCTGCTTTGAAACCCCTCTTGTTTGGATAATTTCTGCACCCTTTATTCAGGCTTACGCTCTTAAGTATCACAGTCACACTTTATAGTGTTTTTCCATTTGTAAATGCCAGTGAAGGATAACAAAATGGTTAATTGAGCGTTGAGAAATCTAATTGATGAGTAAACTGCTTGTAACTTAAAATACCATATACTTGCAAACTTCTGTTAATTGTATTGTAAGTCTCTTCCAAACCAATTATTAGTGGAACTTTATATTATAAAGTGTGATCCAAAACTTGTTGTGGTATATCCCTCCCTTAGTCATGCCTGGCCAAGCTGAAATACTTGGCTTCTTGAATCATTTGTCTGAAGTTGGCCCCTTCGTCCCCCTGATGGCTCATGTAACCCTTCTCTGAACTCCCTTTGGGCTGTGCTGAGTGTTACAATCTGAACTCTTCCTGGATTTAGTCCCTTTCCTTTTGCTGTGCTCAAGATACTTTGTGGCTGCCTGGATACTAGCAAAGAGCCCCATCAGGGCTGTCGATGTGCAGGTACCTGCTGAAGTCCTGCCCTCCAGCCATCTGCCTGCTCTGAGACTTGTTTTGCATCGCCTGGCAAACCACTCATCCTGGATCTGAATTTTTGCCAGTTGAATCACTCATTTGGCTGCACCTTCCAAGGCTGCCTGGGACATTTAGCCAAAGGCTGTAAGGCTGATCAATGGTATAATAAAGGGTGTATCCTAATATCTCAGTTAATTTGCAGAGGCAGAATAGGCAGGAGGAGTTATGAACATGACTGTGAGCCAAGATTCTGTTGGGTTGGCTTCCTGGCTTTGCCATGGATTTGTTTTGGGGCCTTGGAGAAGTCTCTCTTCTAGTTAGCTTTAGTCCCTCTCTGAAAGGACAGCTAGAGCTTTATGCAGAAGAACTGTGGGGATTCCCTACATGTAGATACACAGGGGGATTTAGATGTCTTATCCTCATAGTAAAATCCACAGTCTGTATTACATGCCTGTGTAGTATGTAGACAATCTCAGGATGGGCCTTGTGGATCTACTGAGGTGGTAGAGTGGCTGGGGACTGCAGTGTGTCTGAAACCCTGTCCTTCCATGGAGTTCTGGCCCCATTCTGAGAACTCTGGGGGTGCATGTTCCTGCACTAGTAGTGAGTGATCCTCATCACCATCCTGTGTTTTGTAGCCTCAGCAGTGGTGCAGGGCTTTTCCTTGCCTTTGGGGACATCCAGGGATGGTGGTGTTCATTTTGATGTTGAAGCCACACACTCTATACAGAAACTTAAAGATTAAACCCACCATCACTTTTCCAAGATGGAAGATACTGATTTTATTGTCCTCTTCCTCCTCCTGAAAGATGTATCAAGTCATGTTTCCTACATCCCTAGAGAATATTGTATGTAATGACAAATCTACGAGCTGTTCTGGGTCTGAGAAGGCTCTCAGTCCTTTCTCCTTAAGCCACTCTGCTTTGCAAATGGCACTGAAAAAAATTTTTGGGGACACAGGAAAGGATTTTGTAACTGAAAGCAACAACATTTGAGTGGGAAGACGTCTGTTCCAGTCCTAATGAGTCCAGCTGGGACCTTGTTCTCTAGTGCTTTGGTAGACATGCCATAGGTAGTCTCAAGGTGCTTCATGGACTGAGGGGGGGAAAGCACCTGATTTCTGACTCTTAGCTAGGTGGATGGTGACCTCTGTGGCTCTACACTATTCAAAGTTCAAGTGATGATGTGTTGCTTTAAGGAAAGGGGATCTGAGGGTCTGACCTTTCCAGAGGCAACCGAGTCCTTCTATAATTCTAGTTCCCAGTGCTTTTAAAACAATCCAGGTGGAAAAATGGACTGTTGATTTTTAGGGTAAGATAACATGTCAGGAGCAATTGTTTGTTGGAAGAACGACTATCAAAAAAAATTAACTACCTGAAATATGAAGCCAATTGTGAACTTATGTTTCTAGGTTGGCCAGTTTGGTTGGGTTGTTTGAGTGAGTGTATTTGCATCCTAAAATATAGTGCAGAATGATGCAGAGATCCCCTGGTGAGAAGCAACGTGCACTCTACCCGGGGAGGTACCAGCTTGGTTAACAGAAGTATCTAAAGCTAGACCATTTCCAGACTCGAGCTGACTCACATGGATCCTGCTTGCAGGTGTGTCTGCACCTGTGGTGTAGACATGGCCTGGGGCTTGATATGATCAGGGCCTTTAATCAGAGCGGTATTTTCCTGACCCAGTTCTTACCCTCGCACAGTGGTTGGCACCTAGCTCCAAACTCTCATTCCATTGTCTGGTCTGGATTTGTGCAGCAGCCACCCCCACCAAGTGCTCTTCCTCACATCCCCTGAAACTTAGAAACATGCAGCTGAGGAGACCAGCACTGTCTGCACTCAGCTGGATGCTTTCTGGGGGACCTTATTTGTATAAAAATAATCATGGTGGTTTAGGTACTGTCCAGCCACTCTTAGGTCAGCGAGTTCATGACCCAAGAAGTTTAGAATTGTGATGTCCTGTATAGCTCTTTTTGTATCTACAACTTGCGTTGCACTAAGATCTAGAGAGTATTGGCATGTGGCTGGGACAAAGACTTCCTATTCCCAAAGACCTTACAGTCTGCCTGTGTTGTTTTTTTCTAGCATCTTGTTCTCCCCTGTGATCTTCAGCTTGTAGAAGAGACCTCACCAGGGCCTAGCTACATTCTGTATACGGCATGTTGCCAGGATTTTGCCTTCTTAGGCATGCAATTGGGAGTGAGGTGGACTGCCATTAGATAGCCCATCTCTGAGAACCTGGGAGGGTTCTCTGAGGCAGAATTTCCCATAGCTATTGCACATTGTGAATGCTCTACCAGTCGTGTGTTTTTCCTGGTCTGAGCTGAATTTGTCCCTCCATGTCCCAGAGTATCTGTCATCTGTTTGGATTCTTGCATTGTGCTAATAAACACCCTCCACCCTCCACCCTCCACCAAAAGGAACCAGCATCCAAGGAGGCCGTGGCTTTTTTACCTGCTTCCATGTTACAGGGATTGCTTTTTTCGCAGTGGTCTTCTGGTTGCTTGTAGAAATGCTGGACTCCCAGCCTGTTCCCGGGGACCGCTCAGCTGGAAATTGGCCAGATTCTCCAGGAGGAATCTAAAAAATGCAGCTGAACTTTTGTTCCCTAATTAGGCCAACTTCCCCAGAGTGAGCCCCAGCACTGCATGGCCTGGAGCTCCCCAAGGCCTTGTGCTGCCTCTCTCTCGTGCACCCCGAGAGGCAGCAGGGCAGTTATTTTCAGCTTTCTGAGGTTATCTGCTAGCCTTCTGATGACATCCACTGAAATAGCATTTCTAGTCAGCCATGTTTCCCAGCCTTTCTAGTAGTACCCTCCCTTCTTAGCTACCTTGATGTGGATTAGGGACAATCCCATCAAAAATAGTTTTATTAAAAGTTTTCCTTTTCCACACATTTATTTTATGTTTTGATTGCTCCTGGACCCACCTGAAGGCACTAAAAGAACTGTAGGAGTGGTGGAGATAGATGGGAACATGTCTAAATGGTATGTAGCACAAGGTAGTAGCAAACTGCTTGAGAGATGTTGATACCCAGGAGGGCTGGAGGGACACTGCCCTGGAGCAGTGGATTGTGAGAGGGTTCTGCCTGGTAACACCTTGCTCAGAGAATCAGATCGTTGTGTGCTGCTTCACGTTTTTTCATGCAGGGGAGAGCAGTAACTCTTGAGACAGGTTAAAGTGCCAAATACTGCAATATGACAGCTTTCCTATCAGGTGCACATGTAACGTGACTAGGTAGTTGACCATTGTTTTAGGGAACAACTTCTTGATAGCTGTTTAACAATATGAGCTGCTCCTTTACCTGCTGTGATAGATGACAGAGTATATTTAAAGACCCCTAAGAACTTTTTCTGTCTCAATAGCACTTTCCCTAGAAAAAGGAAGGTCAGTGACCATGAAGAAGGACAGTCTGTGGATGAAATGGAAATCCGGTATTTTCCACTAGGTATTTAAGACATGCAGAAGTCCCTGGAGGGGATTAATTAAAATCAGATGCGCTACTTGAACTGTCTGTGGATGTGATGAAGTGGACTAACAGAGATGGTCTATTGTTTGCAAAAAGCTGAGGTTTGCCTAGATGTGGGAATTGAACCCTTTTTGATATCACATATGCTCTGAGATTGCTATAGACTGTTAGTGTTATGTGGCTGCTTGGAAACAAGTGGGGCTATTTGACTTACAGCTTCTTAACCGGCAGCAGTCAAAACTAATTCATCAGGCCTGTTTGTGGAGATTTGCTTTTCCTCAGTCAGAGGAGCCTCAGGCAGCTTGCTGGAGAAGAGGAAACTCAAGATTGGCCATACCTCTTTTTTCTGCTTCATGGTCAATACCATGGCACATACATACTGTATAAAATCTCACAGTGCTTATATATTGGGCAGAACATAGATCACACACATTTTAGGGGATGTATTACATGACAGAAAAATTGTGTGTCCTGTTGCATGCTTGAGTCTCTGCTTCCCTGCACAGAGTGCTTGCATATTTCCAGACCTGCCTGAGAATCTGAGGGACCCAACATGTCTGTAATCTCCCTGTGTTGTGCTAGGTCCTAAAAGAAAGCTGAGGGTCTGCCTCAGCATCCAGAGACACATGGGGTAGTTGCTTCCATGAGGGAAGCAACATCCAACTAGCACCTTTAAAACTGCAGACATGATCTGACAAGTGGCCTCAAAATTTCTGCCTTGATAGGGAAGCCAAATCAGAATTCTACATCTGTCTGATAAGAAAGGGCCTAACTACTGCTTTAACGCAGAAGAGATGGAATTCAGGCCAATCATTTTTCAAAGATAAAATACTGATTATGGTGGTAGTATGAAAATGTTGGTAAGGAAGGCAGCCTCAGAAGTACTGGAAAAGTGCCATCATAAAAATCATGAACTGAATTTCTGAGAAAAAATCAAATTAAGTCCTGGACTGTGGCAACATTCCTTGAAAAAGTGAACAATCTGCAGAAACTAATGTAGAGGAAATCTCTTGGAGATAAATAACTGACAAAACTGAAGTGGAAAAGCAAACCGCAGCAAGCAAGTGGTCACAAATGCTGTGAAAGAGACTGAGCAGCAAGAGCTGAGAGAGAACACTTGTCAGGAGCTGGTGGAATCTCAGTGTTTTGGACACCAAACCATTTGGGTGTATATCTTAGCTTTTCATTTGGAAACGTACATAAAAGTCATGCACAAGTATTACACAGTAAGTACCAACAAGTTGTGATCCCAGAAAGCCTCCTGTCTTTTTCACCAAAAAGGTGTGTTACGGAGCACATTTGCTCCATTACAGAAGAACAATGTCTTCTGTTTCTGCTTTGCTCTCTCTGGGGTTGATGTTCTTCCCACTTTCTGCCTCAAGCACTTACAGCAGCAGCATCCATACCCGTCACCATATTATGGCAATGCACACACTGCATTCTCAATTGTAAATTACGCTGAGGTTTTGGAAATGTGAAAGTATATGAAGGTAAGTTTATTTACTTGACAAAAGTGCATGTGGCATGTGAGCTTATTATGGCACTTTCAAGGCAACTAACAGAGAAAAGCTATTTATTCTCAGCTGACAGTTAAAGTTGCCTTTCCTGTTGCTAGTGCTCCTGTGGGCAGTTCAGAAAGAATTACCTGATTTATTGCAAGAGGAATGAAAGACCTGTAGGTATGTGTGAGGTGTTTGTCAGGGCCTTACAGACATTCAGGGTTGCCTGGTGTCTATGATCAATGGGAGGACGTTATAACATTGGCAAGACATTGGAATCAAACCCCTAGATGCCATGGAGTCATGCCCTATGCAAGGACTGGGGCAATCATTCTCATCACCCTTTGATCTGGAGTGCCCAACTTGAGATATCTTGGGTCTGAAGGCTAGTTTTGATGATGAGGCAATTAAATTCCAGGTGCACTGGAAGCTCTGGAGATGCTGCATTTTCCCTCAGCCTTATGGCTCAGGTTCTTTGGTGACATTGTGTAACTCTTGCGCCTCTGTGAGGAGTTGTGAGGCTGTGTGTTGGGGACATGGCCTGCTGGCTATCTGGAAGATGGTGTGAGTGGAAGAGGGAGGAGGATTGTTTGCATGGGAAGGATCCATGTGGGAGGGAGTGTGTTTTTGAGGTAGGAGTGTGTGTAATGGGAATAGGGATGTTTATGTGGGCATGCACGCCCATATGTGGTGTGTTTTTCCCCTTTTTCCTGGGCTCTGGGTGTGTCCAGATCAACTGAATTCAAAATGCTCCTTTTTTGGCACTATAGCCTCTTCTCTGGTTTGGCATCTTAAGAATCTGGGGGAATCATTTAAAGATCAGAAAACTCCATTCACTTGGGCCCCTGAAGGCTTCACATTCTGTGACATGGTCATTCCAGTCGACTGAGCTCTGTCCCCTGCGGATGAGCCCATATAAGGAGGCTGTTTCCTGCATTTCACGCTCCCTGCCTGTCCCTCTGCCCTCCTGTGCTCCCTTTGCCGAAGAAAGCTGGTATTTTGGGACTGCAGCTCCTGCCTCATTCTTGCTCCCTGTTTATTTTTGGAGGATGACTATTTTTGCTCGTATCAGGGAGCTATGCAGGGTCGTGCCCCCTCCCTGCAGCAGGCAGTGGCTGCCCCTGGCAGGGTCTCTTCATTTCCCACACTCACAAACAATGCTTCTGCTTCAAGAAATAAACATGGGAGACCCCTACCATCAGGGGTTAGCTCAACCCCTTCCTCATCTGTGGCAGGAGGTAATTTGACTTTGGCTGAGGGCTGACCCCACCACACATGCAAGGTCCCCTCTGTCAAGTCAAAAATCCTCATGAGTCACGCAGCTCATTCCCGTTCTTAATAATAGCTGTGTGAGCCACCTGTCCCCCCACCATTGCTCCAGCTTAGACTCCTTTGCAGTTAACCATTTTTCCCTGTTCTGGGACATCTTTTACCCAATCATCCTTTCTTGTGATGGACCCTTCAAAGGTCCCTGTAACCCATCTTCCCTCACTGGGCACCATCAACTGGGAGCTATATAAACTGAAATTCATCCACTGGGTTCACCTTGCTCCTCTGCTTTCACCACTGCCTGTCATACAAAACACTGAAGGCAGTGTGGTACGAGGTGCGAACCGAGCCCAAAACTGCAAAAGGCAACAGTCAGCTCCCACATGCTGGGAATTCATGGCCCTGTTCTTTGAAAATTCCCATTGTAAGCCCCAAGCTGAATTCCTGTTTTCTCTTGCTGTGAGGCAGAGTGCCACAAAAGACAATGCAAGAAAATAGCAGGGAGTGTCTTTAAGCTCCAGACTAACTTCCCCTTCAGCATTTCAGTGGTGGCAGTGGTGGGATTCATCTCAACTAACTTTAGAGGTGTTTGGTATGTCTGGCTGTATCTGAACTTGGCATCTAGCCTCTTATTCTAGGCAGTGGACAAAAGCAGACACTTTTTAGGAAAAATTCCTCATCCAAAGCAAGATACCTAAAATGTGCTGACTTGTACATTAGGAAAGATGTAACATGGGGTACTTCCCACTGAAATATGGGCAGCAGTGATGATCAAGTTCCCAGTGAACCATCTTTTGCCAGGAGAGTGCTTCCTCTGTGGATCAGTCTGCTACTGTACTGTGTCCTGGACAAGTCAAAGGCACACAACCTGAAACTTGTCAAGATACCAAGTAGAGTGATAGATCTTTTGCTTACAGAAACACTTAAAAACCTGTTCTGCAGTATTTGTCTTCCTTTTATTTTATGAATAAGCAGCATTTTAAACACTATGTCTCCATGTGTTATTTGGTAAAGTGTTACATTAGTATGTGTGGACCTGGTGTGTCAATTGTCTTGACTTTGCCTTGACTGGAGCTGGCTGTAATGTGTCTCTTCTCTTTATTAAAGGGTCCACCACCTAAGCCCCCACGCCGGCAAGGAGGCTGGGCAGATGATCCTGTACTGGCACCTACCAAGTGAGTCCTCAACTCTTTCCTTAATAAGAGGGACTTAGGCATGGATTAAGTGAACATCACTAGTTTGGCTTTGTTGTCACAGACTTTGAAACAGTTTTTTCTGGATCTTGTAGATAGCCCGTGTCTCTTATATCATTGTAACTCCTTCAAACCATTTGAAGTATTGCTCTTCCTTGGTTCTGCAGGCTAATGCTCTTTATAAATTGGCCTGGCAGGGATCAGAACTGTGTACATGTCACTGCCTGCCAGAGGCAGTGTATTCCTTACTTGGTGCAGTAACTGGAAGGAGTCAAAAATGTAATAAGCATGTTAAATGCAGGAGCTGGGAGGGGTGGATTTGACAATTTGTGTCCTCTCCAGGAGTGACACATGACAGTGCCCCACTGACAAGAATGCAATGAACAGGTCAGGATTTAGTGATTAGCCTTGATAGTAAAGGTGAAATTTGTCAATGGTTTTGTGTGTATGGGGTTATGGTATAATGGAGGTGGATAGAGATGGTCAGCGAGAAAAGATGGGAGGAAAAAAGTATACGAATTGTAGAATGTAGGTTGAGAAGCCTGGTGCTTATTAAGGACACCTAAGGGAAAGGAAATAAGTGGACATGGTAACAGAATAGGTATGAAAACTAAAGGACAGTTCAGACTAGGCGGAGATGACTTGGTTTCAAACTATTTGTTCTTTTTCAAGCTGTAAAGTTATGTTGGCGTTATATTTCCTATTCTCAGAGCTGAAGGGCAGAGTCATGGAGTGGTGTGAGATTGCTTGTATACATTAAGACCTATAATAAGAGTGTATATGTCTGGACATACACTATGGAGACACTCCAAGTTATGGAAAAGTTATGTATTTTCTTTCCTGGAACCCTGAGAATGGGAGAAGACATCCAGAAACCTGTTAAACAGTCAGTTGAGTGGTGAGAAAGATGGTCTATATTCTTGAGAGCCTTTCTAGAAAACAGTACTTTTCTGGGAAAATTATCTGTTTGTCTCTGAAGAAAAAAAATCACATGAAAATCTGGAGACTGGAGTAAAGCAAAGGAATAAAGATCTCAGCCTGAACTACTACTGTTCCTCTCCAGTTTGACTCTGATAATGGTATTATTTCTTGTAGGCTGACTGCAGTTAGAAATTGCCATTGAAAAGATGCATCCACCTCAGGGTTATAAAAAAATGCCACCAGTGATCCTGGATCTTTGTAGGACTAAGCAGAAGCTTTATGGAAATATGACAGCATTGTTTAGGAAAAATAAGTTGTGTAATTGTTGGCTAGGTGAAGCATTGGATTGGAGGTAATTGAGTTATTCAGGGCTGTGCCTAATGTGCCCTGAAGGAAAGTGTACAGCTTCCTAATGTAACAGCATGTGCTACTTTAGGATGTTTTCCATTGTTTGACATTAGCCTCCTCTGATAGATTTGGAGCAGCAGCTATCAGTGGTGCTTCTCCAGCATCCCAATTGCATGGCTTACAGATGCAGCAGGTGTCTGGAGTAAATGCTCCTATGAGTTTGGACACAATTCAGCTCAAGAAGCACAAGAGGAGATGGAGAGCTGCAGACCTTTCTACCTGTGAGACCCCGCACAATAGGACATGAGGTGAAGATGTGCCCCTTCTTACATACAATGTCATATCATATCTGACAGTATCCATTTGTATTAAGAGATTTTGTTGAATAAATTTTATGAAGGGGAGGTTTGTTCTGACTTATTTTAGTCATACAAGGTACAAGAATTTTGTACAACTAGTTCCCCTATCTTTGTTTTCCTTCAGCTGTGTATTCTCCCCAAGCTGATCTCTCTCCCTTAAAAAAGTATTGAGATGCTGGCCTGTAAGGCTGTCTTTGTGATATATCCCAGAGTAAAGCCTTCATGTGAAAAGTCTGAGTCATCGGCTGATGTCATACCAATGTTGCTGTAGCTTTGTTGTTTCTGTTTTCTCAGGCTCTATCTCCCCACAGCTTTTCAACCAATTGGACTCCGTTTGGAAGCCCATTAAGTTAACTTGCTCCAATTTCACTAGTGTAGATGTAGTTAGAATAACATGCTTCTATTGATATATCTGATGTAGGTGTAAGCACTTTTATGCCAGTGTAACTGAGCCTACCCTTGGGAATCATACGGCTTTAAGTAATTTGGTTTTCATAACTGACAGTGTTAAATTCTGTGATATTTTTTTTTAACTTATAAGGAAGGATGAGCAGAGTGGCTACAGTTAGATTTTCTGTGTTGTGTAAATATATTGTGGGTCAGATAGGATACTGCAGCCATTTGTGAAATGATGTTTTAGCTGTTTATGTGTTATTCTCTCCCCATTTGAGGTCTAAGCTTTTAGTTCTGTTTCTCACAGATTCAGCCAGTTGCAACTGCACACTTGTTGCTCTTCTTGCAGGGATACTTAAACTACTGTGTATTTCTAGTTCAGAGTCTTACCAAATTATCACTTGAAAATGTTCTTGAAAATGTGGTTCCATTTGGCACATGTTAGAGTAGACTTTAATTTGCAACCTGTTTTTCAGTTTTTCTACCTTTGCTGCTCCCTCTTAGTCCCTTACCTGCCCAGCTCTTGTCATACCTAGTTAAACTTGCAAAAATTCTCACCATCTTTCTGGTTCTTTCCGACTACTGTTGTCTCAGACTGTTGCAAGATAGGAAGAGGAGGAGGGGACTTAAAGTTTTCTATCCTGTAATTAGTTCTGAAATTAATTTTCCTAGATGGTGTGCAAGTAAAATGAAGTATTGTATCATGAGTTCCCACATCATTTGCAAGTGTCTGATACTTAAATTCCCGAGAACTATTAAAATGCTGTCTTTTACTGCATAGTTTGCAGAAGTCGAGCATGGAAAGAATACTTTGGACTCCCGGTACCTCTGTAGAACAGATGTTATTGTTAGGAGTCCCCTTTTGTAAATCTGGATAATGATGATGACTGCAAGTAAGTGTTTGAGCAAACCCTTGGGCTTGTCCTCAGCAACGGCAAATAAATGGTGCAGAGGAGTGATGAAATAATCTTTTTTTCCTTAGTTATGGGTCCCTCTGCACTTGAATCTGCTGTATTTATTTAAATTTGTACTCAGAGAGAAGAACCACTCTCTATGAGAAGAAGCAGTCCTATTGCTACCCCAGTAATACCCTAGCCCTAGTATTAGAGGAAAGGGGACCAGCCAAGAAGTGAGGCAGCCACTTGGGGCCTAGTACCCTGCTGAGATTACATAAATAACAGTAATTACAGCTAGTATTGCTACAGAAGTGGCTCTCTGACCACTGGATGGAGCCCAAGTGCCATTCTGAACGCTGTGCTGATGTCCTTAATGACATCAGTGTTGACACTTGTGACAAGCAAAGCAGAGATTTATTGTCAAGTTATCTCATGCATCAGAAGGAAGAAGCACAAAGTGCCTGACAATGGGAAAAGGCGAAGGGAACTCAGTTTTACATAGTGGTGAGGATTTGACAAAGGAGAGGTGCTTCGAGGATCCATTTAATTCCAGCTTCTACTGATCTCATCTATCTGACTTTTCTTACAGAATTTCTTCCATTTTCTCCCTATTAGTATCTTTATTTCTTTGCTTCTCAGGACACTTCCAGTTTACTTGTGTCCTTGATCTTTGGTCTTGCAATCAGCCCTTTAAAATTCATACAGTTCTGCAGGCAGCAGCTAGGGTTGTTGTGGAATAAACACAGCTTGTTTCAGGTCCTCGTGCAAGCAAACGCAAATGTTGCTTTCAGTAGGAAGTCTCTTCCAGTTTCTGCATGTGTACTTCCTTTCTTCTACAGGGATTATGGCAGTCCAGCAACAGGTGCTCCAGCTACAACTGACATTTCTCCTTTCTGACTGATAGGTCATACAGAGTTGGAATAATCAAGGCTTGTTTAGGAAAATGACAATGCTGAAGTATTTTGGGACAGAAGTGGTGGTGCAGTGTCCAGGAAGGCATTTAACAAGAAGGCAAAGGGACAACAAAAAGGGAAGGAAGGGAATGCAGTCGGGGTGACCTTTAGAGCAGGGTAACCCAGCCTCTGTGTAGGTATCATTTAGGGCTCTGGAGGGTGGGCAGTGGTGAGATTGCACCCTGGGGCTGGAAGAAAGTTATTTAAGAGATTAAGGGGTTTTATGATTCAAGGTCTCGGGAGGTAAGTAAAGTTAAAAACCTCCTGTTTCAAAAATATGGGTTTAAATGATCCTGTGTTGTATCTATATGAAATGACCCCGGAGAGTGCCTGGTTTATAGAACCTCTAGCAATCCCTGTCTTGCAAGTGGGAGTAGTAAAGTGCTTCTCTTATCTGACATGGCAGGGAGAAGCTTGTGTCATTGCTTCTGCCCTCTACTCCCAGTCCAGGAGTGTTGAGGTAAATCTCAGTCTGGGCTTCCCTGTGACACTGTCATGTTAGGAGTGGAGCCAAGCTCCTGGCTGTGGGGAAGACGGCAGCCTCACTCTGCATCTTGCAGCCCTCTGTGGATGTCCTCAGTGATGTGAAGAGTATAGTCACAAAGGATCAAGGCTGCCAAGTGAGGGGGCACAACTTAGAAGGAGAAGAAAGAAAAGGAAGTCTGATTAAGTTTTGTCTTGAAGTGTCTGTTTTTGGGTTTGTCCCTGCATTGATCTGCAAGGGAATGAGGCAAGTAATGGCCCCTTGGGGACCTTCAGGACTTTCCTCTCAATGTCAGCCGTCATTTTCAATCACCCTCTCCCTCCCAGCCATTAATTTTGGCCCAGGATCATGGGGACTTGTCCATCTATCACTCCTAATTGACACTAAATGATCTGTCAGTTTATTGATGAACGGCAGGAGTGGAATTGTCACAATATATTTTACTTTCTAACAACTCCTCCTGACAATTTTACCTTGTCCATCTCACTCTCCTCACATAAATCTCCATTGGCCTCTCATTCCTTCTCTTGGGCTGATCTGGTGCCAGCCGCCTCCATGCCATCGGCACGCATCAAGGACATCAAGATGGCGGTACACTGCAATGTGCAGGCCCAGGGTAGGTTTTTTT